CGCAGCTTTATGAGGATTGTCAAGCAAAATCGATTCAAGAATCTGAGTGAACTTCGCAAGGAATGGACTGAGGCTGGGGTCAAGGCATCAAGAGCCACCACACACAGACGTGTCAAGGAATTTGGCTACAGTTGTCGTATTCCTCTTGTTAAGCCACTCCTGAACCACAGACAACGTCAGAGGCGTCTTACCTGGGCTAAGGAGAAGAAGAACTGGACTGTTGCCCAGTGGTCCAAAGTTCTCATTTCAGATGAGAGCAAGTTTTGTATTTCATTTGGAAACCAAGGTCCTAGTGTCTGGAGGAAGGGTGGAGAAGCTCATTGCCCAAGTTGCTTGAAGTCCAGTGTTAAGTTTCCACAGTCTGTGATGGTTTGGGGTGCAATGTCATCTGCTGGTGTTGGTCCATTGTGTTTTTTGAAAACCAACATCACTGCACCCATTTACCAAGAAATTTTGGAGCACTTCATGCTTCCTTCTGCTGACCAGCTTTTTGAAGATGCTGATTTCATTTTCCAGCAGGATTGGGCACCTGCCCACATTGCCAAAAGCACCAAAAGTTGGTTAAATGACCATGGTGTTGGTGTGCTTGACTGGCCAGCAAACTCACCAGACCTGAACCCCATAGAGAATCTATGGGGTATTGTCAAGAGGAAAATGAGAAACAAGAGACCAAAAAATGCAGATGAGCTGAAGGCCACTGTCAAAGAAACCTGGGCTTTCATACCACCTCAGCAGTGCCACAAACTGATCACCTTAAATTAAAGCAAAAGGTGCCCCTACCAAGTATTGAGTACATGCACAGTAAATGAACATACGTTCCAGAAGCCAACAATTCACTAAAAATGTTTTTTTTATTGGTCTTATGAAGTATTCTAATTTGTTGAGATAGTGAATTGGTGGGTTTTTGTTAAATAATTAAAAAAAACAAAGACTTAAACTACTTCAGTCTGTGTGTATTGAATTTATTTAATACACGAGTTTCACAATTTGAGTTGAATTACTGAAATAAATTAACTTTTCCACGACATTCTAATTTATTGAGATGTATATGTTTTTGCAGATTTTTTAAAAAAGAAAAGATTTTGCAGATTGTTTTTGCACATTTTTGCAGATTTATTAAAAAAGAAAAACTGAAATATCACATGGTCCTAAGTATTCAGACCCTTTGCTCAGTATTTAGTAGAAGCACCCTTTTGATCTAATACAGCCATGAGTCTTTTTGGGAAAGATGCAACAAGTTTTTCACACCTGGATTTGGGGATCCTCTGCCATTCCTCCTTGCAGATCCTCTCCAGTTCTGTCAGGTTGGATGGTAAACGTTGGTGGACAGCCATTTTTAGGTCTCTCCAGAGATGCTCATTTGGGTTTAAGTCAGGGCTCTGGCTGGGCCATTCACGAACAGTCACAGAGTTGTTGTGAAGCCACTCCTTCGTTATTTTAGCTGTGTGCTTAGGGTCATTGTCTTGTTGGAAGGTAAACCTTCGGCCCAGTCTGAGGTCCTGAGCACTCTGGAGAAGGTTTTCGTCCAGGATATCCCTGTGCTTGGCCGCATTCATCTTTCCCTCGATTGCAACCGGTCGTCCTGTCCCTGCAGCTGAAAAACACCCCCACAGCATGATGCTGCCACCACCATGCTTCACTGTTGGGACTGTATTGGGCAGGTGATGAGCAGTGCCTGGTTTTCTCCACACATACTGCTTAGAATTAAGGCCAAAAAGTTCTATCTTGGTCTCATCAGACCAGATAATCTTATTTCTCACCATCTTGGAGTCCTTCAGGTGTTTTTTCATGTGTCTTGCACTGAGGAGAGGCTTCCGTCGGGCCACTCTGCCATAAAGCCCCGACTGGTGGAGGGCTGCAGTGATGGTTGACTTTCTACAACTTTCTCCCATCTCCCGACTGCATCTCTGGAGCTCAGCCACAGTGATCTTTGGGTTCTTCTTTACCTCTCTCACCAAGGCTCTTCTCCCCCGATAGCTCAGTGTTACGTCCATATATGTCCTTGTGGGAGTGCCTGTGTTCTTGCGCTCTCGCTCTCTCGCTCTCTCTCTCTCTCTCTCTCTCCCCCCTTTCTCTGTCGATCTCTTAGGCCGCCTTCCTTGACTGCTGATTGGCTCATGACGCTGTCAGTCATCATTAAGCAACTTGACGCCGACCTATCCGCTGTCCAGATAAAAGGACATGGAGAGACGTGAATGGAGACCTCTTTTGCGCCCTGATTTTTGCTGTCTTATTACTTTTTTGATTTGCCATTTCGTTTGGTTATTTTGTTACTTTGTGACTCGGATGGCGTTGCTCTTTGAGCTTTGATGAGCTTATGCTCTATGACGTTTACTCAAGAGGAAGGTGGATAGGGAAGATGTCGTGCGACTTCCATTGTGCAACATTTAGGTAACTTTATCTGTTTAGACACCATAGGTAAGAGGTGAACGCCACCCCCTGTAAGTTTCATTGTTATTAGTTGAGAGTAGGGAAGTATATGGCGCTTGGCACTGAAGATTTGTTTCTTTTCTTTTCTTTCTTATCTTTAGTTAGGTTAGAGGTTTAAAATAAGGTAGAAGTGGTTTTGTTGTGTTTCTTTCTTTCTTTTGGCGTCACTAGCGTCCCCTTTCTCTTGGGTTGATTTGTATTTGTTTCCCTTTTTCCTGAGTTGTAAATATTTGTACATATGGGTTGTCTCTTTAATGATTTATATTTTGTAGTTATATGGATTCTTTTCACCTTGTAAATTAAATCCCTTTCGTTGGCAGTTTGTGTCCCTACATTGTCTCTTGGCTGCCTCCATCAAGTTTACAGATTTGCCACAGATTTAATGTTACTCCTTTTACCCCTAGACCATCTTAAAGGGTCGTAACATATATTGTTGCTCTTTTTTTAGTTTTGACTGCTTTTATTGTCCTCATTTGTAAGTCGCTTTGGATAAAAGCGTCTGCTAAATGACCAAATAAATAAACACCAGAGGACATGGTTTTCAGAGCTTTACATACAAAATGTATCAAGTTCCTACGTTTTCATAAATGTATGGATAAAAAAAAAAGATTGCCTTTACTAAAATAGACAATTGTACAATTATGCCGGAGGTGTTTATTAAAATTTTTATGATTTTCTTTTTAATTCATAAAAGTTGTAATTTATTGAAACATGCTTGAGACAGTCACACAATAGGACAATTTTGAAATTTGGCTCAAAAATTAAAAAAATCGAATAACACTGCAACTTTTATAACAACAGGTCCATGTAGGACAAATAAATGTTTAATGATTTACTGCATTTTAAATAACAACAATATTAATTATATTCATTTTTATCTTGTGGGACAGTGAAAATGCTATGTCACGTCAACAACCCATATACAGCTTTAGATCAATAGTATTTCCCTAAATAGTAGTCTTTCCCTCACAGAAGGTACATCTAAGCGTTTCGTACTTAGTAGAGGTATTTGACAGGGTTGCCCGATTTCTCCCTTTTTGTTCTTAATTGCAGCAGAATTATTGAATCATTATACTGGAAATTGTATCAATGTTGACAGTATAAGAATAGGTGACAATGTTATTTTAATATCTCAGCTAGCAGATGACACATGTATTTTTCTTAAAGATGAAAGCCAGGTTCTGAGTGTGAATCAGTGGAATTAAGGTCAAGCAGTAAGTGAAATATATTGGAATAACAATAAAAAAATCAGCGAAAGGAAAGACTGGATGACAACTTTACCTACAGAAAACAAAAAACATTTTTAACAGATGGCTTCAAAGGGACTTAACTATACAAGGAAGGACACTGCTCTCAAAAGCGGAAGGAATTTCAAGAATGGTTTACCCTGCTTTATCGTTATATGTGGACAAAAAGACAGCAACGTAAATTTACTCTCTTTTGTTCAAATGTATTTGGAAAAACAAGACTGAATATATCAAAAGGAAAACAATGATCGTGCATGCATTCGTTGAAACATACAGTATGCATGCAGTCATACAAACTCGTACTTAATCACATTTGGACAGTAATAAACTGATATTGTGGATGATAACTGGCGCTTCACACTCCAGTCCAGCGGGTGGCGCTAAAACACACACGTTTCTTTGCCAAACACCATTAAACCTCAGAGGAAGAAGATTAGTTTCACCGTAATCTCTGTTGTTTTGTCTTGATGCTGCGTTAATACAAGCTGTTTCTGTCAGCAGAAAAATACAGTTTTTGAATCAGGTCAGTAAATACCTGTAATATTCTCATCCTCACAGTCGTGACTAAGATTAGAAGAAAGCAGGAATATCTGGAGGAGTATCATCTCAACTGAGATCTGCTGCTGTGAAGATGCTGTCTGTTAAAGAGGAGAGTGAGGAGGACACGAGTGAACCAGAAACCTGGAGAATAAAACACGAGGAACCAGAACCCTGCAGAATAAAACACGAAGAACCAGAAACCTGGAGAATAAAACACGAGGAACCAGAACCCCGGATAATAAAACACGAGCAACAAGGAGGTTGGTCTTTTTTTTTCTTCATAATGACTGTTTGTGGTAGGCTACATTAGGCTTACAGAGCTTTTTTAACGGGGATTAAAAAAGTGGGTGGATTTTTATTATTGTAGGGTTGTTGTGTTCACACACTGCCAACACATGTCCAAACACCATGTAAAAGTGGATTTTGCATAATATGTGCCCATTAAGTTACCGGCCATTCATAACTTCTACTAGCCAAAAAAAATATATATACCAAAATCGTATAGACAAATATATATAGACAAAACGGGCATTGCAAATCTAGTGCATCATAAATAGAACCAGGCTGTGCAATTAATCGCATGTGATTGGCATGCCCGTCTCGTCAGTAAAGCCGGTCCCGTGATTAGCACTCCGTTAGCTTAGATAATTTAGAAGTTTCATCTGGTCTTGTTGAGATATATAGTTGAGTATCATCGGCATAACAGTGGAAACTAATCCCGTATTTCCTAATAATATTACCAAGTGGCAACATGGTAAGTAGTAAATCGCCTGAGCCGTAATAAACTTGACAAGCTAGATATGGCGTTCATAATCGAATGCTATTCATCTGCGATTATGAACGCGATAGCCTAATTGTCAGTGAACTATGGCTCTGTGTGGTGAATGCTGCTCAATCTGAATTGACGAGATGCGCATGACAATCGCATGCGATTAATTGCACAGCCCTAGCATAAGTTTACTGTCAGAGATTTGTTGTGTCGATAAACAAGGCAACATGGATGCACTTGTGGAGGTAGAAAAACAAAGTTCAAGACTCGCGGGATATTGCTTGTAACAAAGATTTAGATGAAAAAGAAAAGGCATAAGAGCCAACTGTTTCTGTCAGTGATGTGATGAGTTTTAATTTCAAATAATCGTGATAACCCACTTTTAACATAAATAGGCTATATGCTGTGTTTAAATGTGTTGCCACTTGCTTGAGCAACTTATGCCAAGTTCACACTGCACGATTTTCAAACTCGTCGGATCGCCGATGTTTTCACACTGAACGACTATCTGGGGTAGCATTCAGTTGCTGCTGTGTTCACATTGCACGATGGATCGGCGACAGAGGGTTTCACATTGCATGAATCGCCACAGCTGTCTGGTGCAGGGTTGCCAGGTTTCCGCTACAAAACCTGCCCAACTACTCAAAACTAGCCTGAAAATAGCCCAATTGCTTTCGAGGGGGTCCCCCAGTAAAAATCGCATTCTGGGGGTAATATACACATTTTGTTTGGCGGGGTTATCCTGACCAATTCACATTCCAGGGCCTAAATATCACGTTATTGGGGTCGCTTAAACCTGCTGACATAATAAACAACCGGCGGCAATCGCGGATTTGGCAACACAGGTCCGCAAACTATGTTTCATATAACTCCTCCCCGAACTTCCCGCTGCCCTGTATCTCTCATTGGCTGTAGGTCATCGCTGATGTGTTTTTCAGTCAGAACTCATTTCACACAGCCTAATTGTGAATCGCGTGAACGAGCACCGATTTGCCTCCGATTTCAGACATTTGTCGGCGAGTTCACAAAACCTGTTGGCGAGTGAAAAATCGGGCTAAAAACATGCAGTGTGAACTCGGCATTAAGCAAACTGGTCAGCAAACGAGCTCAGAGCAGGTTTACTCTGGAGCCAATGTTGATCTTGCGACACGGTTACTGCACAAAGCAGCGAGATCCAGTGAGAAGCGTTTGAGCTCGCCGCGGAATGTTATGAACAGATCAAACAGCGCTGACACAGAAATCCAGAAGCAGAACGCTGACTATAACCATGTTGTTGTGGTAGAAATAGTCCAATGTTATTACATCATTAATTTCAGGGTTTGTACAACCTCTTGAGAGAGAAATCCAAGCACTTTTCAATGACTTTCAAGTATTCCACACAATTATTTCCAGCACTTTAAAGCTCTAAAATGATCTAGTTTAAATGTTATTTTTAATGGGACAAAACACAATGTACATCAAAATATAGTTTTGTGGTAAACAAACCCTTATGTAAAATTAAACTACATCAAATTATCACTGTAACCAGTAGATCGCAGCACTATTTTTTGTGTATGTAGCAGGGTTGGGCCGATAGATGATGCCATCGTCCATCGCCAATGGCTGATAGACATCACGATGTTGAGCCGGCATCAGCTAAAGTCTGTCTACACTGGGCAACAAAGCGACCGTTGAAAATCATTTGAAATTTGTATCAATACGTCATGAATAGAATGCTGCAGCAGTTTTCTGTCGGGGATTTGTCGTGTCGCGCAGCATCCAGTGTAGACAGCATCACTGATTATAATGAGTTCTATAGATTGATCTATATATAATAAATCTCTATTATAGATCAGTGGTTCTATAGTGTTTTGTTGTATCGCGCCACTCGCATCTGGTGTAGACACTGTGTTAGGAATCGTGTTTTCCCTTATAAGGATTCATGCATTGTACAAAGCCTAGCCTATAATAAATAATATTTTAGCGTCCAGATTAGGGATCAACCGATATGTGTTTTTCAAGGCCCGATGCCGATATCGATTATTATAGATCAAGTAGACCGAGAACCGATATATATGTCTGGTGTAAAAATGAAAATTAATGTCAAAATTAAGAATAACAAGGGCTCTGACAAAAACGGCCTTCCCTGGTGTTTGTTGAGTGTAGTACTACCACAGTAAACTATTTATTTTAAAGAGTTAAACTCTTTATTTTTTGGCAAACTCTTTATTTAATGGGTTTACCATTAAAATTAAAACATGGAAGAAATAGCGTATTGTGTGATTATTCTTTTAAACAAAAGTTGTAATAATTGTTGTAGTAGTCAGGGGTTAAAGCAAAAAATTTAATCTTTTGACTGAAAATTTTTCCTCGGCCAAACCCCATTCCTCAGCCATACCTGTCGCACACCCAGTTTAAGAGCAGTGTTTTTCTTCTTGTAATCAAGAGCACTTGTCCTCCTAATTAAAAAACATTAAGGAGCACCTTCTGATCAATAATCAAAAATTCTGATCTAAAATTAGCCTTCCTAATATGAGGTGAAGTGATTTACAGGGGCATTTCCTTTTTACCTTTGCAATGGCATCATTTTCATCTGTAAAATTCAAAAAATTATGTTTATAAGCTTTTTAAAATTTCTATTTAAAACAATATAATAAGAAGTAGAATAAGACAAATAAGTTACCAATCATGAAATTAGTATTAATGAAAAATTTATTTGTACTACAGAGGTGACACAAAAAGAACACAAAATTGGCTTGTAGGTACATTTTCAGACATTCAATGAGGCTCAGAGGTGGCATGAGTGCAATTAAATTCATAAATTCATGTGGAGATTAATGTTTTAACATTTTGAATACAGAAATATTAAATTATTAAAATAACTGCAATTAGACCTAAAAATGAAGCTAAAACCGCCAGCAGGTGGCGGCAAATCACGGATTTTATTATTGAATCATTCATTCAATTGATTCGTTTGAACGGCTAAGTGACTGTCTTTATGAATGGGTAATCAAGAATCACTGACTCACTAGATTCGTTCAAAAACGCACTTTCATTCATGAATGAAACACCGCTGTGTTTGCTTTTAGAGATGGGAAGCGGCTGAGCTGTTACTTTATTTTGAACGGTTTTCGTTGATGAAATAGAGCAAAATCAGGCAGTACGTGTTTATTGAACTGTTGTATTAAATCAATATCACATTTGAAAACTCCTTGAATAATTATTAAAATCTGTCACTCTCCTTATCTCGCCTGTGGGCGCACAGAAAATGAGAGTTCTCAAGTCTCAAAAGTACGTGCAAATGATGAGTTCCGTCATCTGTCATCGCGTTATAAGCGCGGAACCTGCAGGAATGAGTAGAATTATTATTAATAGCTGCAATCGTGCGCCTGAAATTCAAGACCTGCTCTGTGTTCTCTGCTAATAACCCGACTGAATGATGCGAGCGGCGTTATGTTGTCAGTGAGAAGCTGCAGCCGTGGCGGGGAGGATTTTTGGTGTGCTGGTGTTCTGACAAATAATGCTACCTATCAGATTATGCTACCAACAAATCGGCAGAACACCGGAAGAACAACAACAAGTGCTAGGCCTACATGTTTCTTTTCCCCTCATTTTTTCCAATTGACGGAAATCCGTCGTAGCGACGGAAAACTTTCATCCCTGAGTAGGCTAGTATTATGTACATCATACTGCACCACAGTAATATATTTCTAATAATTTCATTTAGCTAACCCGAATTTATATTTTGACGGGTTGCCATTAGGGCTGTGTTCAAAATATCGATACGACGATGTATCGTCACAGAGATTTGACGATACGAGTATCGATACAGCTGGCCCTGTATCGATATTGTGGCACGTGTGCAGCAGTGGACCACGCTTAATTTGTTTAAAATTTTACAATGTTTAAAATTGAGTAGAAAAGTGTGAGGTTTCTAAAAAAGAATGAATAGAGCATATATAGGCTGCAACAAGGTTTAATCTGGCCACAAAGGAACACAACTGGGTTGCCTGATATAAAGAGACGTAATCCCCGAAACAGAACTTCCCACTTGCGCAATACGAAAATATCTGCTAAGTGTGCTACTTATCTTTGTCAACCTGGCAACCATGTGCATGCGCTCTCTCTCTCCATTGAGGAGAAACATGCTTGCTTTCTGAAAACAGCGGATAGCTTGCAGTTTAGCGATCTCCACTTCAATAATCTATTCTCAGAAAAGTGTAATTCATCAAGTGTTAATTTATTAGACAGAGAGAGAAGCTGTGTATTAGGGCTGTCACGATTATGCAATTTGGCTGACGATTAATTGTCTAAAAATAGTCACGGTTATTGCGATTAATTGTCTGTTTTAGGGCTTTGGCGATTATGAAGATTATCGCGATTAATTGTCTGTTTTTATGGCTCGTGGCCTAATGGTTAGAGAGTCAGACTCGTAACCCAAAGGTTGAGGAGTCAAGTCTCATACTGGCAGGGATTGTAGGTGGGGGGAGTGAATGTACAGCGCTCTCTCCC